GGGATTGTGATGCCTCCTGCTTTGGTTTTCTTTTTCAAGATCGCTTTGGCTATTTGAGGTCTTTTCTGGTTCCATACAAATTTGAGGATTGTTTGTTCTAGCTCTGTGAAGAATGCTGGTGTTATTTTGATAGGGATTGCATTGAATATGTAGATTTTTTTTGGTAGTATCAACATTTTAGCAATATTTGTTCTTCCTATCCAGGAGCATGGAATCTTTTTCCATTTTTAGTGTGTCTTTTTCAATTTCTTTCATAAGCTTTCTATAGTTTTCAGTGTATAGATTTTTCACCTCTTTGGTTAGATATATTCCTAGTTATTTTATGGGTTTTTTTGTGCAACTGTAAATGGGATTGATTCCTTGATTTCTCTTTCTGTCACTTCATTGTTGGTGCATAGGAATGCAACCGATTTCTGTGCGTTGATTTTATATCCTGCAACTTTGCTGAATTCACGGATCAATTCTAGCAGTTTTTGGTGGAATCTTTTGGGTTTTCCATATAGAGTATCATGTCATCTGCAAAAGTGAAAGTTTGACCTCCTCCTGGACAATTTGGATGCCTTTTATTTCTTTGTGTTGTCTGATTGCAGAACCTAAGACTTCCAATACTATGTTGAATAACAGCGGTGAGAGTGAATATTCCCTGTCTCGTTGCTGACCTTAGGGGAAAAGCTCTCAGGTTTTCCCCATTGAGGATGATATTAGCATTGGGTCGTTCATACATGGCTTTTATTATCTCAAGGTATGCTCCTTCTATCCCTGTTTTCTTGAGGGTTTTATCAAGAAAGGATGCTATATTTTGTCACATGCTTTCTCTGCATCTTTCGAGAGAATTCTATGGTTCTTGTCCTTTCTTTTATTGATGTGGTGAGTCACATTAATTGTTTTGCAGATATTGAACCAGCCCCGCAGGGGATTATTATTTATCATTTATTTTATCACTAATTATATGTCTTTGGAAAGTTGTATAAGGACCATCGCCTTTGGCAGCCTCCATTCATTCGACATTCATTAATGCAGTTCACCTCAGAAAACTTGATGCTCTGTGGTTCCTGATTCCTTAGTCTTCTGTCTCTTCCTTTTGGTCCCTTTTTGTATTAGAAATACTGCATGTTTTAGCTCAGCATTCCACTTACCCTGCCCCCCAGATGAGATCATTACCCACAGGACTGATGTCGTACCCGCCCTGTCTCCTTTTGGCCAGCCTCCAAGGAAGAGTCAAGTCTCTCTTTACACATTTTTCATAAAAACACAAACAAAAACCAGTGTGTGTCAAAGTGGTTAAGCAATGTTTAACTTTAAATCAGCAAATACCCTATGTTTCAGGACCTGACCAGGCATATTTTATTATGTGATACTCACACGAAGCTTTTTCTGTGCATTGAGATTCTAGAGGTTTAAAATTAAAATGTAATTCCTTACAGCTCTTTGCCATTCTCCATGCGTAGGCTAGACGTCGCTGGGGCTTTTATGGTTGTCGTGAAGGCACAGTGATTTGGCCGGAAGCCGCAGTGTAGGTCTTGAGGGTATGAGGGGGAATGGTGGCCTCCTTCCCTACCAGCCTTCACGCTGCTGGGCTGTACGACTTCAGGTCAGTTTCATAACCTCTCATGCCTTTGGATGCTCATCTATGCAGTGGAGGTAATTCTGACTCACAGGGTTGCTGTAACGATTAAAGTGTGTGTTACTACATGTAAAATGCATTCAGTGGTAGCCAGCATATAAGCACCATGTAAGTGAGGGCCTTGATTGTTATGTGAGCACTTTGAATGTAGATTTTCCTTTTGTTCCTCTGTTCAGTTCACTGCTTGCCAGAATGTAGTGCACATAAGAGTTCTGGTATCTGGTTGCATTCAGTAATTTTCAAGGGTAATTCTTGTGTGTGTGTATGTGTGTGTGTGTGTGTGTGTGTGTGTGTGTCTTCCTTTTGTGCCGGCCCAGTAATATTTTCTGTTGTAGACCTATAATAGATGAGACCTCATTATATAAAGTCTGTACACAGTTCTAGGTCCATGTAGGCTATGGGATAGATTGGGTTTGCACAGGTGTATCACCCTTCCTGGTTGATCCTAAAGTCAGTATCTTCATCCGTCCAAAACGAGTTGACTCTCCTATCATTCTCCTCTGTCGTGTGCCTGTCTTCTGCATATGTATTTTGCCTTTGAAGATTAGTTTACAGTTTTGGCACGTGGAGATAATAATGTTTGTCTTTTACAGTGTGTTGTAGACCTGGAATCAATATATGTTCATGATAATTAAAAGAAGAGTGCCTACAGTAGGCATTCCATAATTGGTAGATCTTGTCACGATCCCTAGTAAAGTTGACCCACTTTGTGACATATGTCCTTTTGTGTGTCACAGACTTTATTCCAGCCGTTCTTTGAATATCTCCTTTCACCAGGTCCAGTTCTAGGTGTTGGGAACCACGGAGGTAAACACGATGGAATAGGTCACCGTTGTCAGAGACAGTATCATTATCTGATATGTTTCTTAATGACGTATCTGGTTTAAATGTTTGACTTCATTTTTAGTCAGATCCTTTTAGATTGTTTCAATGTATCATTGATGAGGTAGCCATTGTTAGGACTCTGCAGAGCATTTATCCTGATGACTGTGTTTTTCCTTACAGCTCTTTCAAGCATTTGATTGGAGGACTGGATGACGTGTCTAATAAAGCCTATGAGGACGCAGAAGCTAAAGCAAAGTAAGTGATATTTTTTTATTCCTTTGACTTTAGTCTTGATTTTTCAAAGTTGATTTTGAATAAATAGAAGATTAACTATTTTGTTGGACGTAACAAATCCCAGCACTCTGACAGAAGAAATCACTTGCTTCAGAGGGGGGAACTAGCAAATTTCAAGGTAGTTACTACCTAGGATGCTTCCTCTGTAAGTCTCTTCTTAAACATGAAATCTTAATTTGGGGAGCAAGATCATCTCCACAAGGGAAAAATGGTAAGTTTAAAACCCCCTATAAATAATTGAATGCAAACATTATTTCTCCCATTGAAAATACTTGATGGATGAATGGCGGCCACAGTGTGCAATAGTTGTTTGTGAAACTGTAGGGGAAATAACAAAGCTGAAGTATTTCCCGTTGCAAATACCCTGTTGCTCTGTTGCTTTCTCTTGAACTGCCGAGGCACTAAGTTACCAGAATGATAGGAGATAGTACATATCCCATTAATTATCCTTTTTGTATCTACTAACATAAATACAATTGTATCTACTTTAAACCTTTAACTTTGTTGAGTGAGATCTTGCCATTTGCAGCTACCTGGATGGAACTGGAGGGTATTATGCTAAGTGAAATGAGTCAGTCAGAGAAAGACAAAAATCCTATGACTTCACTCCTATGAGGACTTTGAGAGACAAAACAGATGAACATAAGGGAAGGGAAATAAAAATAGTATAAAAGCAGGGAGGGGGACAAAACAGAAGAGACTCATAAATATGGAGAACAAACTGAGGGTTGCTGGAGGGGTTGTGGAGAGGGGGGGATGGGCTAAATGGGGAAGGGGCACTAAGGGATCTACTCCTGAAATTGTTGCACTAGATGCTAACTGATTTGGATGCAAATTTTTAAAAATGAAAATGAAAATTAAAAAAACCCTTAACTTGTTTGACACAGAATTGAAATTATTTGAGATTGGCTTTTTCTGACAAACAAATCTAGGTTTCTTTTACAAAATGGCAATCTTTATAAGTCTCCCCTCTTCTGCCCCCCCCCCCCAAACTAATTCAAGTGAAAGCAATTTAGTAGTGATATCACACAGGACACCTGAAGGATTAAACTGACAAAAATTTATCAGTAAAAAGATAGTTCAGGGGCAGAATTTGGTTGGTTTTGTAGTAACCTCAAAAGCCAAAAAAAAAAAAAAATTAATTGCTTTTGCCTTGAGAATCTAGGAAGATTAAAACTTTGGTCTAGAACGAAAAAAAAAAATAAGTACTGTAATTCATTTTGACTGATAATTCTATTATCTTCAAAGCTGTCAATATATTCACAATTTCTTCCCCATATGGTTGCTTCTGTTTCCTCCGCTCTTTGGAGGGACACAGACACACACATCCGGAGGTCAAATGGCAGCCGTGCCTTTGCCAAGATTTGCTCAGGAATCGCACTAGGCAGTTTTAACGCCAAACTGCACACAGTCATCGGATTGCCTGTACTGTGGGTGGTAGATATTAATTTTCTGGGGTTTTTTCCTGCACTCGGTCAAAATACATATTAATGCTAAGTTTAGCTTCTGGTATTAGCACTAATCCTACTGAGATGGCAGAGGGGGCCATTTAAACTACCCTATCAGTTTTAAAAGTTGTAAAAGTCCCTTGTTATTATTGGACTTTATCCTTAGAGGAACATTTGCTATATAAAAATTCATCTTTATAATTTATGTTAGCATTTTTTTCTGGAGTATATATAGTCGATTAAGATTACCATGGGTCATTCCATATAAATATGTGTCATATAATACACCTTTTGTATATATATAATGGCTGGTAATCTTGAAAATTTATCTAAAATCTACGTGAGCAACTGTGTATGTATTTTTGCAGTTACTAGAAAAAGTCAGACCTCTTTTATTTTATTTTTTTAATGTTTATTTATTTTTGAGAGGGGGGGCAGAGTGCAAGTGGGGGAGGGCAGAGAGAGAGGGAGACACAGAATCCGAAGTAGGCTCCAGGCTCTGAGCTGTCAGCACAGAGCCCAACACAGGGCTCGAACTCACAAACCACGAGATCATAACCAGAGCTGAAGCTGGACGTTTAACCGACTGAGCCACCTAGGCGCCCCATACCTCTTTTAAACTAAAGCATTCTGTGGTCTATTTCTGTTTCCGGCCAGATGTTAGATTCTTTAATGAAAGTTTTTGTGTAAGTCCTGTTGACCCAAAGTTGAGTCTGGTCACAGGCTTGAAATGGGTCAGTGATGGGAAGGCGCCTTGACTTAGCTGTATCCTTCCCAGCGTCCTCCTGGCTCTATAAAGATGACTGTGCTTGCATCTCATGAACTCTGTGCATCTGTGAGGTCATTCACACGTGCTTCAACCAAAGACAACGGGGAAAACAAATACGGCAACGTTCAGATCTGACAATTACAGGCCAGGAAGGGTGACCATACTTCTCACTGGAACAGATTCTGTGTGAAGAGTACCCTGAACGTGGGGCCACAGCCTCGGGCTTTGCTTCCCCACTTTGTCGTTTCCAACCACCTGGTCTTAGTCCGGTTACACTGCCTCTTGATGGCCTCATCTTACTTTAAAAATGGTGTTTCTGTGAGTTAATTGATAGGAGTATGTAAAAGTGCTTTGTGAATGATAAAGGGCTGTAAAGGGAATGTTACTGTTGGTGGAATTAATCACTGCAAGTGTATCCTAGAGCTTTTGATAAATGGCTTGATTTATACATAATTATTGCATATTGATTACATACAACTAACTTTACCTGGCCAGGAACTCTTTACTCGTATGTGGACAAACTGCTCTCACTTCGGTAGAATGTCATGAAATTTCACCTAGCCTGGAAAATACCGTGAATACCATTTTGATAAAAATAGCAACATTTAGGGGCACCTGGGTGGCTCAGTTGGTCAAACGTCCAACTTCGGCTCGGGTGATGATCTCACAGTCCGTGAGCTTCAGCCCCGCGTTGGGCTCCGTGCTGACAGCTCAGAGTCTGGAGCCTGCTTGGGATTCTGTGTCTCCCTCTCTCGCTCTGCCCTTCCCCTGCTCATGGTCTTGCTCCGTGTCTCTCTCAAGAATAAATAAATGTTAAAAAAAATAAATAAATAATAGCAACATTTGGCTAAAAGAATGTTCAATTATGATTGAAGAACAAAGAGGAACAGCAAATGACTAGTTGCATCTAAGTGGCTCAAAATATTACTTGAACCATAAATTTGATAGACTATAAATTAGTTATTATACTTGAATATAAGTTCACTAGGAGAGGTTAAAGTTTTCTAGTTCAATTAATATTAAATCCAAATGAATGCATAACCCATGTTCCTTAATATTATTTGAAAAATGGGAAAAAATCAATAATATCTGAAGATTTCTGAGGTTGGAAGTATCATTTTAACCAGGTGTCCTCTCTCTCGGAGGTAAACTGTGAATTATTCCCAAGGCAGAGCTTTTTAGTTGAACTAACAAGTTGAAATGTCTATCTGTGTTAACGCTGTTGTCTCTTTATTCAATTTCTTCCCCTTAAGTATATTGTGCCTTCATCTCATATTTAAGGAGCTTCTAAGGTTTGCCACTTCAGGGACTAGGCGGACGCTCTAATTGGTCTCAATTCCCTGGATCATTCTTGTAATGCCTCTGAATTTCTATATAGATCACAAAATCTGTACCGTTGAGAACCGAGGTGTTGATTGGCTCTGCCGTGTGAGTCTCCGTGATTTTGCCGAATTCACCAAAGATGAGAGTAGTATTTCTTAAAGTCCGACTGAAATGATCACAGTATTTATCCCTGTGAACTTACTGTTGGTATTGTCTCATCGACTATGACTATTTGGGTAAAAGGAGGAAAAAAAAAAAAAAAAGGCCTGGCTATAAAGATAGATGCAGTTGAGATGTTTAGAACTTAATTAGCTGTTAGCATAATCAGGCTTCAGTGGCGGACTCCTACACAAAATGTACAAACCATCCTTTTCAGAAACACTCCTCTCATCCGGTGTGGGTGGCTGGTCCAGAAAGGTTGGCTTGAGAGCAATGTTCTCATGAAATGGTTCTTCGAACTTTCCTGCTGCTGGATATATGCCTTCAGCCCCTCTCACCACATAAATTACCGACAAAGAAAATTATTCTTGACAGAATCTTTACCTTTATGGCATGTTTAAGCTTTTCTTGATTGCTGCTAATTATCCACTAAGGGCTTCTCTTTCTAAAATATGAAGTTGTAATCACAAAGACATTAGAAGAGACAACAGCAGATCAAAGTTAAGCATCATTAAGGCTTATTTAGAGCGGAAAGTAGCATTCGTGATGAAAGGTATGCGTTATTTCCCTGTGAGAATACATATTCGTTTAATAAACACTTCGAAATTCACTGAATGATGACCCAGGCACTGTGTTTCACAATGTGCAGACGAAGTAGGAAGCCTATTTTCTAATACTAAGGATCTTGCTCCTCTGACAGCTCGAAGAATGTAGATTCGTAAATGCGTTTATTTATGATCCAAGTTGAGGATTCTCAGTTTCGTTCTCCATGAGGGACTCTTTCTCATGGTGAAATTTATACAAAGCTACAAATGAGTGTCCAGTCACGTGTTTTAATCTACAACATCCCTTGATACAAATATAGATTCAAAGGCCCTGCGATGAGTCCGCAGCGCCTCACGCACCTGCCTTTGCTGTGTTCATTCACTTTGTCATATGCACGCATTTTATTCAGCACTTTCTGGGTTCCTACAAAATGCTGCATACACAGCAGTGAATACAACAGGCATGCTCCTTGCCTTCATGATGCGTGTGGTGCCGTGAGGGAGAGAGACACACGTTAATGGTTCTGGGAGAGCTTCCCGGAGGAGGTGACATTTTATCTAGATTTGAGCTGAATTCTAATGAATTAGCTGGTTAGGCAATAATTAGTATTTGCTGGGCAAGTAAATGCAGAGGGCATTGCAGCTAGGCAAATAGCATCTGCAAACCCTCTAGATGGGTATGCACAGAATGCATATTCAGGGAACCAAAGTGCAATC